CGGCGCAACGCGCGGTGACGCGGGCGGAGCACGACTGTCAGATGACAGTTATCGCGTGCGTGTCATTAATTTCGTGCCGTGTCGCAAGTGTTTCCGACTTTCTCATCATCATCGTGCGTGCCTTTTTTAAAGAGCGGTCGATGCACCGTGCGTAAAAAAAAAAATGCGACGCGTCCGCGCGCCGCGGTTGCGGCATCGTTCTCGTGCCGTCATTATATGAGCATTCTGATCGCGACCCGTCATTACACCCACCCTGCATTGTCACTGATGTCACGAAGAGCGAGAGAGAGACTTATTATCGTTGCGTGCACGTGGGGGTGTTTAGTAATACGCGAGCGAACGCGCGAGGAAAGGGGCAACGTTCCCTCCGTTGAAAGTTCCTCCCTCCCCAGAGAAAAAACCTGAAATCACGTTGCCGCTTTCTTCAAGTTGCCCCTTCAATCCGAGTCACCGAACACAGTGATTCCCAAACACCCCCTCCGCGTGACCGTACCGATGCAATAAAACGCGCCGTTCAAACGAACAAACAATTAAACTCTGTTCTGTTGCTCAGTCGTAACAAGTGCATCAGGCTTTGGTTGGAGTAACATTATTATTGTCGAAACGATGAAGCACCCGAGAAAAAATCAATGCTTCCTAAGCGCTTCTTTTTACGCCCTAACCGGTTCGGTAAGTCGAAGCATAACTCCGATGCAACGATCAATCACACGATCAGCCGTCACGTCGTGAACATATTTAATTACAGTCACGACGTGATCGATGCATATATATATATATATTAATATGTATATATATATATACGTATGTGTACAATATAATAACGTGTAACGCACGACATGTACTATAATCTTATTTGTCGACGAGAACGCGAGACGCGCGATACACACGGCACTTTACACGGTTTCACGCGTATACATGTCGGTACGCACCTGTATCGCGTTGAAAAGGACTCGCGCATAAATTGACTAATTTTGTGGTTCCTCAGCCACACACACACACACACACACACAACGGAAAGTTCCGGCTACTCGACTCGTAAGCTCGCGCATAGGGTTGCGCTACGACGTCGCCGTTAGCTTTGATGCTATGTTTGTATCTCGTTTGTATTATTATTATTATGTGCACGCGTATCGTCGGAATTCTCATCGGGCGGTCGGATCTCGAATAACTTCGGTGTCGTTTGCGAATTTTCATACTGCGGAAACGCGCGAGGATGACCTGCAAAATCCCTCCTCCCCATCGACATTAATTTATTTCCATGCGGTATATTTTTCTTTCTTGGGTAAGCTTGGGTGTTTTAACGTTAAATGTCGTGGCGTTTCAGGAATCAGAATCCTGTCGAGATATTATTAATTTGAAATATCGTTTGATGACGAATAAAATTCTTCGCTTCGCCTCTGACACGAAATCTGCTTCAAGTAAACCAAAAACATTAAATCAATCTATTGAAATATTGACCATGGATTTTGATCAAGCATTTGGACATAATATTTTATAAATGTTTGTTACTTGACAATATATTATTCCTAAATATTTAAAACATAGAAATATTACTTTTAATATTTGGATCAAATATTGTTAACAATGACGTTGTATGCAACATTAAGAACTACATATTTAAAAACATTACATGTTATAAAACATCACCGCAATAATGTTGTGTTAATGATTTCTTGCTTAACCCTTTTTCTCAATCGATAACAATTATTAGTAACAATTAATAATAATAATTCAAACATCACTCGTGTTACTTTTTCTAAAAGAATATTCAATGCGTCCAACTTCAAGCACTTCCGTTCGTAACGTTTTTTTCCTTTTTTTAATAAGTTTCGGAACTTAACCCGTCCGTGTCCAATAAGAAAATTTTATTTTCTACTAATTCTCGGGAGATACATTTTCTCACTGGACACGAGACGCGTTGCGAAACTTAACGAAGAAAAGTGTCGCGATTTTCCTGTGACCGACATATACACGATATGAAAAATCGAAACCAGTCGAAATTCGTCGGTCCGAACGGCCCGATTCTTACTACTTATTCGCCTGCGAAATTCGGCGCAATGCGCTTCACTTTGTCTCCTTGCATTCCCGTCCTCGTTTGCCGTTCGATTGCGCATACGTTTGCACGATCGAAAACAACATACATACATATTTATACTTATATGTATATATATAACGAAAGAGATGAGTATTCGTGTGTGTGTGTGTTTTTGTATATAGATCGTATATGTAGCCATAATAATAATAATTATTATATATATATATATATATATTTATATATATATATATACGTATGTATACGAAATACATCTAGACAGTGTATAATATATCGTTCCTCTTTTCCTAATATTTCGATCTTACTCTGACTTTTGTATATTCATTCTCACGGTTTATCTATCTAATGTAGCTTATGTATCGATACTTTCTTATAGACTTTCACTTTTATCACTTTGTTACAAATACTTTCATTACGGTTTTATGACGCTACGTGGGCGTCGTCCGAATTTCCGTTTACGAATTGAGGGAACTCGCGCGGGAATTTCTCCATTCGGGATTTCCGAGATTTTGTACTCGCGAGCGCGATTTACGATCGTTCCCCCGCTTTGCGATCTACCGAGCGCGATTCGCGCGTTGCCTCGCGACGACGATTAATGAAGAATCAATTGCGATAACCGCGTCCTTAATTACTTTCCGACGTTTGTCTGCGTTTCTCATGTTCACTAAAGCAACGTGATATCCATACGACACAGAAGACCTCGCGAACAAAAACGAGAATTTTCCCAATTCGAATTAGACTTCGGAGCTTTTATTGATATTGTCGTTGCTTGCTGTGTTTAATATAAGACGTTGCGTAAAATAAAATAAGAGAAGATTCGATTTTTTCCGTACAATAATCACATTCCATACTGCAGCAACATTGCTGCAACGTTTCCAACAATATTGTTGCAACATTGTCACAATATTACTGCATGCTTCTATACTATTATGATACACCACGCTTCCAAAAGTTAAAGATTATCCAGAACGTCAGATATTGCATAATTTACTTACTGAATCTGTAATTTAAGATATTGCCGTTGGATATCTGTGCCGTACGTATCGACAATGTCATGTCGTTTCATCGCGAATTTAATTGTACTATACTCGAAGTGCGCACAAAGACGTCGCGCGTCTTCGTGCATATAACTTTAATTTCGTTTTATGTCGCGATTCGCGTAATTCTCCCCCCTTCCTCCCGGCTCCTTTCTCCCTTTTCCTTTTTTCCTTTTATTGCTATGTTTCTATTATTTCGTGTAAAGGAATAATCGAATGACAAGAAGAAGAATTGGGAATACCTAAAAGTTTCAGCGATTGAGCTATGTTGAGCGCGCACCGAGGTCTCGCAAATTGCTACCTGTCAAACCTCGCCGTATAATTATTGTCCGCGAAGAATTATTGTCTGCGAAGGTTTGAACGTTATTGTCTTCTTCTTGGGGCATACCTCGATCTGGCTCTCGCCGACATATTCCGCTGCGATTAATTAATTAATTAATCGAATAAATCATTCCTTCCGTTTCGCAGGAAGGACATTCGCGCGAATATTGCACACGCGTATATCGCGTATTATCTAATCAAAGATACCGCGACTTGGTAAAGTCAAAGAATTCCTCGGGCTATCGATGTTTTACGCGCTAATCTGCCTCGCGAAATTTCTCTTACAGATAAATACTTTCATAGATACTTTCGTGTGTTATCAGCGAAGCTCCGATTTATACGATTTATGTACGCTTCAGTCTCGAAACTTTCGCAAAATATAAATATACACGCGGCTAATTGTAAGATTCATCTTGACGAATGCTTTTCCCGGTGCTGTCAGCCGCTTGTTTACTCTCAAAGAATCCGCCGAGAAGCGGAATTCGCGACAGACGAACAATTGAATGTGCAACAAAGAAAGAAAATGATCCTCTTAGACACGCGTGTTCAGGCACGACTGAAGGGTGTGGGCTTATTGTCGTTCTCCAAGCGGCGGGTTGCGTGCGTCCCGGCCGTTATTATGTTTTTTTTTTATCACAAAACCGTTGTAAAAAATATTACGATCGACAGATCTCGTGAAATACGTCTCTTCGATCTCGTGCTCGAGCAACTCGCGCGGCCATTCACAGCGCCATTCTCTGCACTCTTAGGTATTACGCGCAACGGAAATGTCGTGTTTCCCCTTTCCCCCCGGTTTACGAATATTCATCGAGAATGCTCAACGAGAAACTCAGAGGTGTGCGCGAACGTTTGGGTTTTTGCATCTCCCAATTCGTTGAATCTCGAATCATACTTGATGCTCGAAATTTCATTTATGCTCCTCCGAGAACCTCAGATATGCCACGGTCAAACGCGTTAAACTGTTCGGCCAACACCAACTTTAACGTATTAAGTCATATCTAATGTAATTTACACTGCATTTACATTGCTGAGTGGGAAATTGTAATATTCACGTCATGTCACCGTTTGCTGGCTTTTTCGAAATCTCGTCTACTCGATGAAACCCGATAAACGATTAACTAACATAACAATGTTATAATTTCCCAATCGATAATAATTGTTACATAACACACGTGTTATTAAATCGCGCTTACACCGTTGAGTGACGAATTATAACATTGATATAATGTTACTATTAATTAGTATTTACTGAGAACCTAATTACTTCGGACCTCGTCGGCTGAGAAGTACGAACAAAATACGGTAACGCAACGTTCGGGATCGGATGAAACTGCTTCGTTTTCTCGAATAGGAAGCGAGATATTTTCAAAGACTTCTCTCTCCCGCCCTCCCCTTCCTCCCAAGAAACGTAAAACCGCGTTCGCTGATGTGAACTTTGCCCCAACTGCGCGAGCTTTGTTCACGGAGACGTGGCATGTCTGAGGAACTGACTGAGGGTTGGTTAGCTAATGATACGACCTACGACCTCTGGGAGAGCAGTCTGCCTGCCTCCCGCGGATCCGATCAATTTATCCGGAGGTCGGCCACTCTCAATTCCACTGCTGATTGTGCATGACGTCGTGCGTGTAGTCGTCCGTCGCTGGCGGCTGCACGAGGGTCGCGTTCACGTCGCTGGCGAACGGATTCGTCGAATGGAACGGATTGTTGCCGCTGCTCTCCGTCGAGCCGTAGTTTATCACGGAGGCTTTATCCTGCCGTGCGTACAGATGGTTCTCGGGCGGCGCCGGCTGCTCGTAAGCATTCCAGTTGTCGTTGGCGGATCCTTCGAGGGACGGCTGTTTCTGAAAGGAAACGATTCGTTCGCCTTTCGTCTTCCAATATTAAGAATTACACTTTTACTCGACTTTCTGCCGCTTCAATAATTATTATCGAGCGGGTAAATAAAAATAATAATAAAACCGGTAGCATTTTAATCATGAATAATGAATATTAATTTTAATAATGAATAGTAATAATAATAATAAGTGGGACGCACTTACTATGAACTCAGATTGCATGGTTTTCGGCGGCGGGGGAACCGGTGGTTTCGCTTGGAACTCGTCCATCGGATTCCAGGCCTTCTGCTCCTCCAGACTGGGGTCAGCCCAGGGTTGCAACTCGCCGGAGCAGAAGATCGCGTAGAACGTCACCCCGAAGATGTGTACGCACGCGGCTATGATGAAAACGTTCCGCCAGCTCTCCGCGTCCTGCGCGAGATTTTTAATTTTTTTCTTTATACTATTTTCATTCGTATTTTATATATTAATGCTATACGCAGTAGCCAGTATGAGCGTAGTCAGGGTTGGTCATGGAGGCGCTTGCCCCCCCCCCTTAAATTTTGGCAAGGAAAGACGCACCTTTTCCTCCGTGATTTCGTCCACGAAGAAAGGGACCAGCAGACCGGCGATGGTGCCGATCCCGTTGGACATACCCATCAGGATACTGGCGTATCTGGGCGCGATGTCCAGGTGATTCACGTTAAAGCCGGAGATGGCGAAACCGCTGCACGCGACGCCGATCGCGAGAGCGATCGTGGCCGCAGTCCCGCTCTTGTGCGTGGTCGCATGAGCCACCACTAAGAAGAAGATCGCCTCCATACCGAAGCCGCCGCAATTGAAAACCTTTCTGACATTCGTCGTCGACATGATACCGTGCTTACGAAGGTAATCCGCCAGCAAACCGCCGCACGGCACGATCATCGTCATCAGCAGATGCGGAAGCGAGCCGATCACTCCGGTCTGTTGAAACGTTACGTTACGTGATCGACATGAACGTGTCATTAAAAATCGCGCACGTCAAAGAGAAAAGAAATTCAATATTTACAACTGTAATGAAAGAATTGTAGTCAGGGGAGAAACCATTTTCCAGCAAGTGTTATTCTAGTATCGATGATAATAATTTATACGCGTGTTGCTGCTACTATTCGCACGGTTAAAACCGTAAAAAGTGTTGCAACAGATAGATATTTTTTGAAGTGATACAGATGAATTCGAGACAAATAATTGGATACAGACACATATACTATGGGAATGCATCTTCATACTTCATGAAGTATCCTCATAATTTATTGAAATTGCATTATTTATCGGAAATTTACCTCGACGAGGGGCATGCCGAAGGACTCGTGCATGAAACGCGGCTGAAAGAGCACCAGCAGGTAGAAGTTCCAGGATCTGCAGAAGTTAGCGACGATGATGGCGTAGACGGGCATCGAGGTGAGGAATTTCCGCCAGGGGGTCGTCGACAACGTCGGCACCGGCATCAGCGCCTGGCCTTGCCCGAGGGAGTCCTCGATGTAGCGCAGCTCGCGAGCCGAGATGCAAGGGTGCTTAGCCGGCTTCTCGAACGCCAGCCACAGCCAGAACCCGTACCAGATCAAGCCGCACATGCCTGCGAATGTGTATCGGCCGCGTCGAATATACGATTCGCGATCGGGAACACCCGCGAGGTCGTAGCTCACCGTAGAAGTAGAACGACGCGGTCCAGCCGAACCAGGCGCTCAGGTAACCCGAGAGCGGCATGCCTATCACCATCGCCGCGTACGATCCGCAGAAGGCCAAGGTGGCCAGGCGGGATCTCTCCAGAGGCGGCGCCCAGTACTTCCAGATACCGTGACACGCCGGATATGTGACACCCTGTGGGAAATTCAAGTCTCCATTCGTTTATCATTATTATTATTGCGACGAACGCTTCCGCGTGACACGTCCGGATCTACAATAGCTGTGGTAATCTAAGTAATCCGTGCAAAATAATTGCTCGACATAATAGTTGGATCTCAGGCTGTAGATCCTTCGCCGAGGTGAAATGAACATTTATGCTCACGATCCAGCGCTACTTCTCCATTGAAATACACGATCTTGCGAAAATGATGATTGTATATTTCCTTGGAGATGATTATTTTTCAAGAGGTTCGAAGAACGGAGCGGTATCTCGCTGCACCCATTGTAGATCCGGGCTAATCGGCAAACGACACTCTCGCACGGGTACTTCTACTCGACGTCCTTCCAGGCGCACACACCTCGACCAAACCCTTCAGCACCTGCACGCACATGTCGGCGATGGGGTCCACGTTCAGCGCGCCCGGTACCAGGAGATTCAGGAAGGAGGATATCGCGATCGCCGCGCCGAATATTCTGTTCGCGGGATACAAGGACGCCAAGAAGCCGCCGGGCACTTGGGTGACCAGGTAACCCCAGAAGAAGGACGAGTCGAGGGCGCTCTCCGTGCCGACCGTCCAGTTGAACTTGATGCTATTGTTCTCGCCCTCTTTCGTGCTGTTCTTCATCGCCAGCTTGGCCATACCCATGTTACATCTCATGCCGAACGAGATGATGAAACCTGCGGTTACACCGGAACGGTCAGCTGGACGGGGTGCTTCGCGTTCCATTCGAGCAGACCGCGATGAATGGTCTTACCTACACAGGCCAGGGTCGCGATAGTGTACCTCTTCGAGAGGCACGGGCATTCCGGCATGCAGTAAGTATCGATGTGCCGTAACGGTGGTCTTTCCGGCTCCGGAAGCGAATCGAACGAGGGCTGCCTGCTGTATTCCCTCTCATCCTCGAATGCCCTGTTGTCCTTGCTACCCTCGCGCGGGCCTTCGAACTCCTCGTAACCAGTGGTGCTTCTTCGAAATCTGCCGGATTATCGTTACCTTCGAAGGATCGTCTTCCCACGTCCGGATAATAGCAAATCTTTGGCTAATTTTCTTATCTTATTCATTATATTTGTCGATCTTAAAACGGCTCGAATTCAGTCACATTTGCGACGTGATCCAACGCGACGAATGAGATATTTATTATTAATTATCAGATCAGTTGGGTGAGAGTAATCATGTGCATTGTGATATAATTAGTTCTCCTTATTACGAAGAGTACTCGTAACGTGAACGCTTGATCTGAGCTTGATCTGAGACTCGTCTAGATTTATCTGAGAGAATTTCATTCCGACGTTACGCGAGCTTCAAATATATTTTAATACGATTGCACGCAACGTTACCCGGATAGTTTCTGCGATGCTTTGGTCTTGAAGGAGTCAAAGGCTACGAGACCCGCCGCTGCGAATCCGGACATTTTCCAATTATTGGAGTTGCACCGGGACTTCGTATAATTGCGATGTTAATTGGCAGCCCCTGCGGCAAGGAAACTCTTTTAACCGACGCTGTGGCAGTCACAAAGACTGCGCGGCTTTCATTCGGCGATTCGGTAAACGTCGAAATTCGAAAGTCTCATGAATCATCTCCGGCGCCGCCGATATCACGGGGGGAAGACTTCCGTTTTCGTCTATCTATAGCCTTATCTATATAGTGCTATATCTATATAGGGTATCCCTTATAGAACGGCACAGGGGGACTCGGAGCAGGAGTGTTTATTTGGAGTGGCAGTATCTCCACCCCTAATCCCCGGGGCTCTCGAGGGAGCATCTTCCGAGGGTGGAAAACTGTGAGAAGAAACGTATATAGCGCCGGGGCCGTACACCGAGATCATATTTTTCACTTAAAGTTTCTCGGAGGCGTGTCTCGGTTAAATCGCAAAATCTTAATCGGGTCTGTCCTTAATCAAGACGAAGGCGCGAGCTTACGAAAAATACAACGGACGCGGATTTCAACGACCTTCGTCGTTCCCACAGAAGGGGGGAGGGAGGGGTGAGGAAATTAAACAAGCGACAAGCGTGATCCCCGCTATCCGAGAGAGAAAATTGCAAATGCAAAACTATACGTGGAAGCCAGGAAGAAACGAGTTTCTCTCGTATTTTCTTGGTGCTTCCTTTCTTCCCTTCATCCCTTAACGCGCGAATATACGTTTTCTCACTCGCTCGTTTTCGTTCTCAGTCGTACGCAGAGTACTTTCGCCTGTGCTTTCGCGTTTCAAGTTTTTTCCTCGTTTTTCGTCGTTTCCTTCGCTCTGTCCGTGGATCCCGTTCGAGAACAGCTTTCTTTTCGGCGCTCGTGTCATTTTGTATTTTTCCTCCACGCTCGTACCATTTAGATCGTAATCGTCCGTCGTGCAGCCACGATGAAGCGTGCGGCCTGCAAAAATCGTTACGGGGGGGGGGGGGACAGCGCCGATCCTAAAGAGGCGCATCGCAGGACAATAGCCTCTCGGATATTAAAACGGCACGTGACAGACAAAAGGCACAAAATGCACAATACGTGTTGACGAATTGGGGTGGAATGATGAGTATGGGACACGCTGACTCAACTTAATGGACACCGGGCGACGTCCTGGCACACCACGTCCTGACTTTGCGCCTCATATTTTACACTGATGAGAACCAATTTTTTCACACGTATTCATAAAATCTACCTAGATGATATTCAAGCGCGCGCACACCGTTCGTTTAAGGAAATAATTCATTGTCTTCTTGGCAATGACTGAACGAAGGATGTATGAAAAATAGCGGAATGCACGTTAACGATGTACAAAGATAATACGCCGCAATTGGATCTTCTTCGCGGAGATATGAAGAGAGTAATGAAATATACAAAAATGGCATCGTGAAAATGTAGCCCGTTTTAACGAGACAAGAAGCGGTGATAGGGGAACAGAATCCGCCGTGACACTCAAAGGGAATCTTAATCAGAGCGGATTTCTGCCGAGGCGGAAACTCGATTCGCGGCTAATCGACGCGAGAATGGCGCAAAACGAGCGTTGTGACATCCCGCAGCCTCGGGCACTCGCGTAATCCACGTCGGGGTAAACTTATTATGACTGCGTTCGAGAGAAAGTGTCAGAGGCGTCGGTGGGACCCGGTGGGACCAGTTACGACGCGAGTTTCACGCGCCTGAAAATCACACAGCCGATGAGAGGAGCGTATCGGGAGGATCTCACGAATTCTCATCACCCAGAAGGAACGCACGATGACAGGTGACATTGGCACCCGATGAGGCGTGTGTACTCGGCTCACTGCTGAAATCGCACCAACCACGAAATCACCACTTCGCGGCTCACCATTTCCACCGGCGGATTTCCGGCGAGAACGGGAAGATCGAGAAGGTCGTCTTCCGAAATTTCTTCACCGGCGGGGTAGCGGAGCTTTCGGAAAACGGACGACTGTCGCTTTCCTCGGGATCTTACGCAATCTCCGGATCGGACGAGATCCTCTCGAGTCCGACGAACAGAAGCTGCGAATGGCGAGAGGAGAGAACCGCGTTTCGAGCTTCGGGAGCAAAGCCTCGCGCGATCGGTTCACCCGGGGATCGAACGAGCGGGAACGTCACTCCGCGACCTACTCCGCTCGAAATCTTTGAAAACCACCCCCGACGTTTCACCACTGAAAGGATCTCGTGTAAGAGCACATTCTCTCTCCGAGCCAGGCCGGAGCCCGAATTTCGCTCGCGGGCGAAATGGAATAGCGAGCGAACGGGATATATTCGCGATTCTCGACGGGGATATCGTCCGTCCGAACGAGACCGGGAAACACGAGGGGGACTCAGCGAGGGACTCACCAATAATTAAGTCCAGACACGGTTACGCGCGGACTGGGTAACGGTAGCGCGGGGTACGCGACGGAGAACGTCGTCGACGTCGCCTGTCGTCGTCGTCGTCGTCGTCGGCGGCGGCGGCGGCGGCGACGGCGCGGGTGGTAGCGGCGGCGTCGGCGGCAACAAAGTTGACTTCTGGTCACGGCGTCAGCGCATCCCAGCCGGGCGACGCGATTGGACCGGCGGCGCGACGCATCGATATCACTGGCCAATCGCGGCTGTTCGCAGCCCCCTTTAGATCGACCCCAGGCGGAGCTTCTCCTGCACCCCCGGGCGAAAGTTTTGCAACAACAAAACGGCACGAGAGGAAAAACGAGCGCGACGCTGGCGTTAACGTTAAATTAATCGGGCCCCGCCGCATTATCGGGCCGGAATTTTCGACGGTGCTCCCCTCCCCCCTCCCCTGCTGGCGTCCCGAGGGGGGTGGGTTTGGAATTAATTTCTCTCGCGCCGAGGGTGCGAGAGAAGTTCCGCTTCGTTGCTTCCTATCGGAAAAATCCTTCCTCGAACACGGCGACGCGTTCGACCGAGTCCGAATCCCTCCCGGAAGTTGCGCACCCTACGTTTCGTGGCAATTTGGCATTGACATTCCGCAGAAATCGATTCTGAATTTGCAGAACGGCGACGACGACGTCGGGATCCGGTGATCCTCGTTGTTTGCTCGTCGGTAATCTCCCCGGTAATCTCTCGCGCGCGCGCGCGCGAGCGCCGACGATTAAGGAAACGGCTCTACCGATGATGACGAATTCAGCCTCCCCGACGCGGTAGCCGACTCGCATTGTTACAAACAGAGAGAGCGATTGGGGGGGTAGGCACCCTTTCCGGTGGTTGCCAGGAAATATCGATCTGTCCGGAGGGACGGATGCTGCTGCGGCTGTTCTCAATAGCTGGTACAATACTTTATCTTCTCCTCGGTAGTCAGTGTGTCCTGAATAACTCCGATTTCACTATCGTCTCAGACGTCACACCGACGGGCTTGCTTGCGGGAATGCCTCGAGGAATAAGCAGGGAATCATTGACGCAACGTTGTTACGCTGATATTTTGCAACGCGTAACGATGTCTTAATTGTTATATTTGCCATACTAACATTACAGAATCAAGCAGAATCGACGCTCCAGGATAGAATTCTCGCGTTAGTCAGCGTAATCTTTATCTCGATTCGGTCTTACGTAACGATGGAATAATTATTATTGGAGCATCGATACGACGATATTCCGTTCGTCGGTAAATACTTCAGCGCACATTTTACAAAAGACGCTGGCGTAACTTTCAGCTTGGTGGAAGAATAAACGTAGAAATCGATCCCGACGATCACCGGACCCGCGCAACGCCGTTGGCGTCGTGAATGATTTACTCAACGTTATTCGATATTATTCACGCGACGCGCGTTAACAATATTATTTTACAAGAGTGGGCGACGGTCTGAATGAAAGGGGACGGTTGTCAGGGTTGTCGCGATTGTCACGGTGAATCGAAGTCTATCGTGAATCGCCGCCGGCCGGCGGCGCGCTAACTTCGTAAATATCGGCCGGCCGCAGCGTCCTCATCAATGAACGCTTGACATTTCTGCAGAGCTCGACGTATCGCGACAGCGCGGACTCGAAGTCCAGCTCGAGATCGCACGTGCAATCGCGACACGTGTCGGCCGGGAGCCGGGGCACGCGTCTACCGCGTGACCGAGCGATCTCCCGTCGATCTTCGCCTTTGAACGACGATGATCCCGCTGCATTTCTCGACCTCGCTGCTCCGTACGATCGCCCACGGGCGTCTCTGGCTTCGACCACCTTCACGAATGACGTCAAGGACGACGACGAGGACGATATCTCGGAAAACTCATCGACCTTCCCAATCAGCGCGCGCGGCTTCCTCCTCCTCCCCTCGTCGCCGCATCGTCCGACCCGGTGCTGTCTTTCCTCACTTATCGTCCGTCGATTTCGGCCGCGCTTAGCGTCGCGCTGACCGAGATACCCCGCAGGATCATCGTCGACGAAAGACGACGCGGCCGATCGAATCGAGGAAATCGTTACACTAGTCCCGTGATCCCCGGGATCGCCGCCACGGTGGAAGTTCCCGTCGTAATTTACGAGGCCTCCTCGCCGCTTCCCGGCTTTCCGGCGCCGACGTCGACCGTCCTCTAATTCCCATTTGGCCGGCGAATCCGTGGCAGCCGGAGTCGACAAATCGTGAGACCAAGCGGCGTCGATCGAGCGGAAGGACTTCGGCAGGACCTCGCTGCCGCCGGCCAATCTGCTTCGCCTGCGCGGCTTCATTCCTCCCTCGTTCCTTCTTTCTCCCAAATTGCCGCGCCACGGCAGCCTCACGTCCGATCGGTGATCGGAATCCGAGCACGAAGTCACGGAGCACTGCGATAGAATCGATGAGGGAGAAAAATTATAAATTCACAATACCCGGAGCCGGGAACCAAGGGGGGGGGGGAGGTAACTCGCAAAAATCGACCTCGAAGATTCAATTAATCATGGAAACCGGAGTTCCTCGAATCGCTTTCACTCGGTTCGCTGAATCGCCTCGATTTTAATCCCTCCTTCTATCCTTCTATCCGGAGAGTACAGGGAGAAGGGGGACGATGAAGCGGGTAATGACGAGTTACTAGTTTCCCCAAGCTTTTACTTCACCCGCCTTACCTGTCCGACGTATTTTCCAGCCGCTCGTCGCCTCGCGACGTCTCTCGCGGGCTCGCGGCCGCCCCGAGAAGTCCTCGACGCGCTCGTCGTCCTGGCTCGTCGGTGGCGGCTGAAGAACACCCCGGTCAACTTGGCGCGAATCAGACGTTTCATCCAGCGGACGGACCTGCCGACGGATTTGCGGAAGCGATTCGCCGCGAGTGCCCGCGTCCCATCGGAGTAATCATCCCGACGAGGCGTCGTCCGGTACTCAATCGTCGTGACGGAGGTCACGCTGCGAGCCCCGTGCGACGAGTTGGCGCGCACGCTACGAAGACGGAGCTTCCTCGACTCGCGAGACCCTCGTAACCCGGCCGTGCCGCTCGTCGTCGTGAACGAAACGCGCGACGTGCCGCAGGTAGCCGAGCTCGCCGAACAGTCGCCCGCGCGAGGATCCTCCCCCGTCGAGACGCTGGCCCGCCGCGAATACGATCGCAGCCCGTACGTCTTCGCGCGTCTTCTCATTGCATGCGAGTGATTTGAAGCGATATAAAATCGTTTCCGATCGCAATCCTTCGATCTGGCGATCTTCAAGTCTGTTGTTAACATAATTTTTACGCAAGTAAATCTTTGCGCATACGATTGATTACTTCGCACCGGAGGGATCGCCGTAAATAAATGAAACGAAACGAGATACCGTCTCCTTCCTTCGGGACTGCCGACGGGCGAGCCGGGAGGTCCGTCGGTCCGCGCGTTTCCCCGACGCTCGATATACCCTCGTCGTCGCCGGACGCCAGCCGAGCTACGGCGCGCGGGCAACTTACGTCCACGTTGACATCCTTCGACGACACCCTCAGTCTGGGCGTCCGCGCGGAAATCGCGAGCGAGTAGTCCGTCGCTCGAGGCTGCACCTTCGTCGCGTACGATTTCCCTCGGAACGGGCCGACGAGCCGAGTGCTTGCCCCGTCGCCGGCGATCGTGATGTCCACGAAATCGTCGTAGCAGCGGGAACAATCAGGGCCGAGCTCCACCCCGGCTGAATTCAACGAGTCCGCCGGATCGCTCGATCGCTCGTCGTCGGCCTTCACGACGGCCGAGAAACAGTTGTAATTCAGCTCGACCAATTGCTTGTCACGCTCGGGATTTCGCACGAACGTGGCGATGCTGCTCGCGTTCGCGCAATCCGCGCTCCCCGAATCCGACTCCTTGTTCGACGGGCGCGTCCACTCGCGTCCGTCGAAATCCATAATCCGCGATAGACCGTCCGAATCGCTCGAAATACCTCCGGTCTGATCGTGGTTCGCCAGGTCGTACGATGAACAAGCGCGACCACCATCGTCCGCTGATCGTACCGGCTTGTTGCTCTCCTCGATCGAATCGTCCGACTCGAGAATTCCCTTCCTGTGTTCCTCGGTGTCCCCATCGTAATCGATCACGCACGAACCCGGGGTCTCACGGTGCTCCTCGTTCCTCTTCTCTGGTTCTCCGGTGCTCACGTCGGACACCGTTTCGACGACGGGCTCGGAGAGCTCGTCGCAAGGACAAGTCGTCAATTCGTCATCATAATTCGGAAGGTTCTCATTAATCGAGGGTGAAAGTGCGCTTTCCTCCGCACCGTCGCTTCCCAGCCTGCCGTCCGGCGGCGAGTCTACCGCCGCCGGACTCTTCCGGCCCGGCCGGGAACAGCACGCGTCGTCGTCCGTTCTCTCGCTCTCTTCATCGATACGCGAGAGCGTATCGTTGAAATCCGCGTTTTCCCACCAGCCCGGACATTCCGATCCTTCGACTGCGCCCCTCGGCCCCTTCGCGTTGGCGGAGGGCGAAGTCACGCGGAGGTCACGCGGAGGGCTCGTGCGGACCTTCTGGCAGATCGGTATCCTCGCGACGAAGAGGCAGTTACGGACGCCGGCGGCCTTCAGCTTGAAGCTGATGTATCCCGGGCGTATCTCGAGACGCAACGTCCTCGCGATGGGACGCGACGTTTCGACGCTCGGCTTGCCCAGGACGTCGTTGAGGCACGAGCAGACGTTGCCCACGCTTATCTGGAACTTTCGTCTCATCACTATCAAGCAGGACTCGGTCAGGGACGGATCGGCCTCGGAGATCCGGCGGATCAGATCGTCCGCCCGACAAGGTACGGGCAGGTGACGAGTGACGACGGACGACCCGGTCGAACAGCCGCAATCCTCCACATGCATCTTGCGCACGATCACCTTCAGTCTCGAAGCGGCCTGAGTTTTCCCGCCGATGGGAAATTCGCGCGCCACGTCGGCGCCGTCGGGTCGCTGCGATCCGGTAGGACGCGCGTTACGATTCCGATTGCCCCTTCCTTGCCGAGGAAGATCTCGACTCGAGTCGGGCCGATGTTCCTGTGGACGGCCCGGTCGCACGTGCTCGGCACTTCCGTTGCGGCGAACGTCGCTCGTTTTCAATTGCTCGGCAACTTCTTCACGGCCGGCTGCCGGCCCTTCCGCGTCGCGGCGCGCCGCCACGCTCGAATTCGTCCCGCAATTGCAATTCGCCGCGGCCTCCCTGTCGGGGCAAAGTTCGGCACAATTTCACGCGGCTTGCCGACAACGAGGTTCACGCTGAGAGGAAAAATGGACATTCGGCGAAATCAATGTTTCTCGTGACGCTTCCCTTGATGTTCAGTTGGGAAAGAATTTTATCCGCGACGACGGAATATGTTCTTTTTTTTGCCAAATATACCTAAGTTTTCTTACAGACGGTTTATCTGGTAGGAATGACATATGATTTCGCCGTATTAATCTTTGGTCTTACCGTCGGACCAAGCTGAGACAATGAAGGGAAGCGCCAAAACTGACACAGATATGGCAAACCATTTGCTGCGGAATACCATTTTACGGAATACAGTTGAAGCCGTCGGCGACTGATTCTTCCACGTTTTCCTTGTTTGCTTATTTGGCGCTTTCCTTCTGCACGTTCAACTTCGATTGAAAAAAAGGAAAGAATGACCCACGTACGTGAAATGATCGTGATTTGCCCGATAGTTCCTCTCGCTCGCAAAATTCCACACGTTCAGGCTCCTCAAGATATTGTCCTCGATTCCCAATGCGTCCAACTCGCGGCAGATCTTGCTTAATCTGTGGTGCAGAATGACGGAATCCAGGAAGCAGGTGATCAAGTCGTCCTTCAAAGCGCAATTCATGATACTCCCGATCGCTTCCCCCATCGTTTCGACATCGTACTCGGCGATTTTGTTCAGGAGACCCTTCCACGTAGCCAAAGTGTCGACGAATCTCTTGAAACGTGGGAACCGCCTTGCCGATCGCGAATCCGTGCTGTACACGAACTCCACCAGAAAGGAATGGATTCTATATTCCAGACTCGGCACAAAGAGCGCTCGAATCTTGTCGATATAGGGGCCATATTTCTCCAAATCGAACGCTACGTCTTGGCTAACGCGATCACATGAATTTCTCTGGAATATGCGGAGAAATTGAGAGAAAGAGAGAGAGAGAGAGAGAGAGAGAGACTTTACCAAAAAGACAATATTATTTTTTGTTAGATTGAGAAGACGAGAGAGAGTCGCAGAATGTCGTTTATATTCCGTCGTTTCGCACACACACACACACACACACACATGAAAAGAATGAAAAATTATATCCGCTACATTAACTGAGAAAATTATTACTATTAAATAATAAAATAATAAATAATAATTCTTTTCTTCTAATAATTCTAAAATAAAAAATCAAATAGTTTGCGCGTGCGAGAAAAGTGTATCGTATGTCCACTTGATATTTCTTTTATCACCGACACGTGTAATAAATACCTGCTCGTTCCTGAACGGCACGTAAAACGATGTTTGTTCCCCCGTCATGCCGAGACACGATTGATATCTGTTAGAATTCTCGCGATTTTCTGCGCGTCGAACATTTCAGGATCGGTCGTTCTTCGAGCGGACGTTCCGATGATTTTTTACGGTCCACAACCTAGAAACACACCTGTCACCGCCGTTTTTCATGCCGACTTGAAGATGGGTTCAATTAAAAGTTAAGTCGAACCGGCTGAATGCCTTTCGCGCTCCGCGCGCGTCCCCGATGCTTAATAAAGATGCCACTGGCATATTCTGTCGCATATATAATAAACGAGATGTCTTATCATCGGTGTCCTGAGGTAGCCAGCGAGCTTGCATAGCCCGCAATTACACCACCGGCACCGGAAGCAGGACGCAATTTTACGAGACAACTTATCACAAACTGCTTTCGGTTGAACTACTAAACTTCGTTAACTCGCGCCGTCACGATGCCAAAATGCCGGACTCGCCAAATATGCTAATATGCTTGCCGTTTTGCTGCGATGGTGCATATTTGTATTTGTGGGATCCTGGAAATGAGAGAAATCACAAAGAGCGAAGGGGATGTTTGACGAGATGGATAACCGTAATTAATTCGCACATGGACGTTTACTCGCAGCGATAAATGTTAAAAATCATATATATATATATATATATAATCATATTATATTATATTACATCACATATTACATCACATAATATAGCCAATCCTCATTGTACCTTTCGTTAATTAAAAATTATTTCACTTATTACCCGTGTTTTGCTCCCCCGACATTTTGTTAAAATGGAAACCATTCGGAACTATTTAAAAGTCCAGAAATAACATCGTCTCTCTTTTTCTTCGCGCGATTTCGAAAAGCCCGACTCCCTGAAACGCGCATTTCAGTTTCCCTCGCGACCGAAGAGTCGATATTTCGGCTCCTTCGACGGGGAAGGAGTAACGTTCAGCTTTCAGCGTGAAAAATCATCCTCACCGTCGTCTTGCGGAGACGTTGTTACCCCCGCACGCTGTGTACGATAAAAGGACAATCTGCACTCCTTCTTTCTTTCGCATCGCGAAACCAGCCTGCCGCCGACGTCTCTAACGGCAATAAGCGCGCGGTACTCGTATAGCGGCGACGTAACACACGCGTGGGCGGCACCGTGACGCGAAGCTGCATAAAAGCTCCCTCCGAGGGCCAAGGGGGAAATCGAGATCGCGAGGAAAGATGGCTGGGAGCGTGAGAGAGAGAAAGAGAGGACCGTCCGAAAATCTGCGGTACAGTGCAAGACAGCCGCGAAGCCCATTCACGTAGAGAGAGAGAGAGAGAGAGAGAGAGAAGGGAGAGAGCGGTTCTCTCTCCGCGGCTCCGCGAGGATCAATACTCGCTGACGCCGAGACTGAGAGCGTAACAACCCCACGTCGACGCACGCACGCACGGCGTATCGCCGAGGGAAGAATTCCGGAGATGTCCTGGCAGCAGCCTCGGGGCTGCTCGCTCCTGGCCGCTCGCGCGCGCGGTCTCTTCCAACGGCGCTCTCGTTTATTAACTCACCTCGATTGATTATTCGACGCACAATGAGATACGATGTACGAAGCTTTCGGTGCATCTTTCTCTTCTTCTCTCTTTGTCCGAGCATTTCGAGGGAGCCTGTCGAACTATTCTCCTACGTAGAAATTCTTTTAAATTTCGGCTGCGTATTTGACGGGAACACCATCTGTAAAACGCGTCTGTAAAGCTAGAAAACGAAATTCGAAAGCCGAGATATTCGCAACCAAAGGTGACACTTTTCACACGTACGTTACGCATCCCGTAACGTGTCCTATTTTTAGTTTCTGCTCTTAATTTTTCCTAGACCATATCTAGGATTTTAATGAAAAACTACTGTGATATTAGACATTAATATAGAGATTAGCATAGCATTAATAAGAAAAATAAATAATATGCTTCTTGTTTGCAATATTGAGTCTACATTTACCTTAATTTCGCGCTTAAAATTAACATTTATCACTTAGATATTTAAATAAAGTTATATAGGAAAGTATTTTTTTTTTCAGGGCCCCTTAATGTCGCCATTGAAAATCCGATACTTTACAGAGACCAACTACCGTAAATGGGAAACATGGTAAACATATGTGGTGTCGGGAAACGCGAAGTGTCCCTTTTTGCAATCCGCGCTTTGTGCGAAACACAATGCGCGCCATGATGGGAGATTTGGATTGAGCCGGTAACTGAGAAAACGAGAACGAACGCGAGAACGTTCGTTCTGGGAGGAAGAAAGTTGCACATGGAATTTGTTTTTTTATCACGCGCAATATTGGGGAACAATGACGACCTGACTAACGTCATAATTCCTTCTGAATTCATTCTGAGTTTTTTTTAGAAAGAATATTTTTTCAGACTTCGACCGACGTGCTCTTTTACCAGCTATCTCGCTGGTAAATCATAATCGTTAAGATAGCTCGCGTGGGCGGCGCTATAATGGCTATTTGAATCCCAGGAAAAATGTTTATATATAATCAAATAAAGTTATATGTAATAAGCTATATATAATTATATGTGATTTGTACGTGATTTTTGTCTCTATATAGTGGCAAAATTCGCATATAATAATTTTTTTCCCGGGGTCTATGTTGCGTCTGAAAATATTCGCAGAGTTTCGAAGTGTCGTGAAAAAAAATTCGTCGAATTATCTCTGTCGCAATTATCGCGATATTTTTTGTTGTACGGCGAATAAAGTCCGAATGTGTGATAAATACCAAAGATTAAACTCCGGGAATGAAAGCTTTGCGAAATATAATATCCCCGAAGGATACCGAAGAGCACATCCACCGGATACGCGGACAGCTCGGTCATCGATCGACGCGCGCATTAAGCATGAAATATCGCGTCAAGCGTGACAAGATTGCCCGATTTCCACTTCCGGTCACCACGGTTGTCATCAGCTACAGATACGTATCACGCGTATACCCCTCCCCCCCCCCC